GTTTTTCTTCATATTTTTATCTTATTATTTAACCTGAGTTTTCCCAGTGAGACTTTATTACTGCAGTGATTATTTCTATGCCATATTTTGTTGCACTTGTTCTGCAGTGAATTATTTTGTTGCACTTGTTCTGCAGTGAATTATTTTCTTTTATTGATATTTTTATGCATTATTATTCTCAGTTCATTATTGCATCTTGTTTTTCATTTTATTAATTTTCCTGTTGTTGTCTTTGCATTATATTTTAATTTTGTTTATGCATTCTTAGAAAATATTTAAATTTCCCAGTTATCTCTCATTGCATACAATTTAGTAATTTTATTTTATACTTTTTACATTGATTTACAATTTTATTAGTTAATTCCTTTATTAGCAAGAGTAAAGACAGCTCATTTTGCATTTAATTCAGTCTCCAGTAATATTTTTACTTGTAAATTTCAATGTAATTTTTTTATCTTGTCCAATAGTCCTTTACATTGAGTTGTCCTTCCTCTTGCAGTGTGGCCCGGTGGTCTGGTGGCTAAAACTCCCGCTTCACACACGGAGGGCCCGGGTTCGATTCCCGGCGGGTGGAAATTCCGACACGTTTCCTTACACCTATTGTCCTGTTAACCTAGCAGCAAATAGGTACCTGGGTGTTAGTCGACTGGTGTGGGTCGCATCCTGGGGGACAAGATTAAGGACCCCAATGGAAATAAGTTAAGACAGTCCTCGATGACGCACTGACTTTCTTGGGTTATCCTGGGTGGCTAACCCTCCGGGGTTAAAAATTCGAACGAAATCTTATCTTATCTTAGACATTTTTTATTACTTATGCAGAATTGTTAAGCATTTTCTTCCACTTAAGCTTACTGTGTCATTTCTCTATTTTTTTTTTGCCTTATGTCCTTGAGTAAGTTCCCTGAGATCATGTCCCAGTCACTTTTGAATGTTCACTTAGTGTATCATGCCAGTCAAAGTCAATATGAATCAGTCCACAGTACTAACATTCCCTTACTGACTGAAAGACAATACCTAGCCCTTGAGCAATGTGTTTGTTCTCACAGCTTGTATCTGAGATTTGTTAAAGTGCTGCGAAATGTGAAGTTCAGATTAAGTTCCTATAGATCCGTGAATTACTTATTAACGTAGCCGAGCGGTCAGGCATTAGTAATACTGTCACTCCTGTCTGGACTCCAGCCACAATATCATGCACGCAGGATAGTGCGACTACTATCCTTGCGATGGCGACTTGTTCAAGTATTCGTTCCTTCCCAGGGGACGCTTTGAGAAGAACTTTACTTGCAACGAGTTATGCCATCTCTTGCTGATGTCACAAGCCATTGCAGAAAGACGTTTATGTGGCTAGTGTGCTCATCTGAGTGTTGTTGTTGTCCCTTGTGTTTCAGATTGTGATCCCATCCTAGTTGACAGTAATCAGTGTATTGTAAGAAGTTATTTCTCGAGTAACTTCCACGTTGTTAACGTTTGTAAGTGAAGTTTATAGCTGATACCTCGTGTTACTGTGTGTGACTCAGATTGAATATCAGCATTGTTTACCGTGTTCATTTCTTTTCTCCTGTGCTTGCAGTTTGAGATAGTAGATTCGTTCTCCCTTGCTCATATTGCGTGTTATAGCGTTAATTTTTTTCAACCGGGGGGAGTCATCCACTCCACCGAGTTTGTTCATTCCTCCAGTAAGAAAGAACCGATCCCTTGTGTTCTGGTGATTCGATTCCTGCTCCAGGAAGATCTTATTCTGACTGTGAAGCCACCAGCACCCATCAGTGACTTTGTCATGAACCAAGAATTACTGTATCGAACAGCCGAGTTGGGTACTCCTAGCAGAAGAGTATACCAGTTAGTAATTCCACAGTCACTAGTGAATGTAGCCTTACAGCTAGTTCACGATGTACCAGGTGTTGCACACCCTGGTATGGATCGTTCAGTAAAACAAGCCAGATTGAAATACTTTTGGCCTCGTATGGCAACTGATATTTCTGAGTATGTTAAGAAATGTAGTGTCTGCATGCAACATACAGGTAATGCTAATGGCGCCTACCAATAATGTTCAAGTGTTGTGTACTTTGACATTGTATAGAATCAGCCCAAGCTGTATACCTGCCATCTCTAGTTTGTATTAGTTGTATGTCGGGACGACATACGTTAGCATCGCCGAGCTCTCAGTAGTAGTAACCAGTTACCAGTAACCAGTGTACCAGTAGATGACTCACTACCAACCGTCTCTGCTTGAATCACTGTCTGTATTCATATTGTTGCTGACCACAGCAGTATTTCAAACACCCCCCTCACATATGGGTACTGTGGTTGGTCAGTCTTACGAGTGAGAGCAAGGAGGCAGGTCACGGCTGTTTGGCGCTTCCCACACTATCCGTAATTATACGTACTACCAGCCTACATGAGTATTTCTTTACCCTATCCACGTGTTCGAACCCCACATGATAATAGAAGCTGAAGTGTCCTTGGATGTCCACGTCTTCCATAGTCTAGGAAAACGCACACTGGTACACTATGTTCCACAAGATTTGTCTTTATTGTTCACAATCTTATCACTAAAGAAGCTGATCACACTTCTCTTAAGTATTTATTGTGTTTTATGAGACACTTTGTTCACACTAACGCACAGATCGTTCTTTGTTGGTTATCCTGGCGTCAGTGTCACTCTCAGTAGAGTCAAAAGTAATCTGAAGACGCCACAACGCCCCACGCCGTTACTCCCCTAGCACAAAGGAAAAGCTGACCTAGTACTTTTGCTTCCTTGCCACTTCCTCGATGAAGCAAAGCAGAATGTTTGATTCTTGCTGTCTTAAGCATAGACAACAATATCCACTATCTTTACTATGGTAATAAAGTGGGAGCAGGATTTTCCTTAATTGTCCTGCTAAGGTAAGAGATGAACTGTCTTTTATTAAGCTACACTTTGCAACACAGGACTGCAAGGAGCAGTGGTCGCTTGACCACGTCGCATACTCGTACTGCATCTGCGATCAATTACTCACTGTAGCAGTAAACAAGATATTTGCCCCTTCTGAGAGGGCTGGGCCCATCAGGGCTGAAAGTGGCTGAAGGGGGCTGATACCCCCCTCCTGGAGAAAATTTCTCCACAACCATGATGGTAGCTATCAGAAATATAGCTGTTACCATCATGGTAGGTATCAAGAATATAGCTGATACCATAATGGTAGCTATCAAGAATATAGCAGTTACCATAAAGATAGTTACCATGATGGTAGCTATCAGGAATATAGCTGCTACCATGATGGTAGCTATCAGGAATATAGCTGCTACCAAGATGGTAGCTATCAAGAATATAGCTGCTACCATGTTGGTAGCTATCAAAAATATAGCAGTTACGAGAAAGATAGTTACCATGATGGTTACCAGGAATATACCAGATATAATGAAGGTAGTTACCATGATGATATCTGTCATGAATATAGCAGCTATCATGAAGTCAATTACCATGATGGTAGGTGTATATAATTATGTTTTGGAACGTATTAGAAAGCAATGTTTAATGTAAATGTTTATGTTGAAGGTCTGACTTTCACTGCTGGAATCCGACACTTAAAATGGCCGGTCCTTCTCAACCCATATTATAATATTTATAACTAAGTTGAACCCAGAAGCGTCCCTCAGTAGCAATGGTGCATATAGTAGCTACCATCAATGCAGTTACCATGATGGTAACTGTCATACATATAGCGTCTACCATGATGAAAGCTACAATGATAGCTATCATGACTATGTCAATTGCCATAAAGGTAGTTACCATGATGGTGGCTATTATGAACTTCCATGAAAACAGTTACCAAGATATTAGATATCAAGAATATTGCAGCTACCACGGAGGTTGTTATGATGATGGTAGGTATCATGATTGTAGTAGCTACCATGATTTTACCTAACATGATACTAGCTATCAAGGAAATACCAGCTACCATGAAAGTAGTTTCCATAATGGTAGTTACCATGTCGGCAGTTATCATGAATATAGCAGCTACCACTATGGTAGAAATCACAAATATTGCAGGAACCATTGCGGTAGTTACCATGATTGTAGATATCATGAATAGAACATTTACCTTGATGGTAGTAACCATGATAGCAACTATTATGAATGTAACAGAATCTGTGAACGCAGCTACCATAATGGCAGATATTACGAAGATAACAGGTACGACGAAGCTAATTACCATGCTGGTAGCTATTTTTAATATGGCAGCTACCATGATTGTAGTTATAAATATAACAGCTACCATGATAGTAGCAATCAAAAATATAATGGCTACCATGAATATAGCCACCATGTTGGTAGCTATCATGAAAGTAGCTGCTACCATTATGGTAATTCCCATGATCGTAGATTTCATGAATGAAGACGTTACCATGATGGTAGCCATTATGAATATATTATAATTATAATACAATTATGGGGAACGCTAAACCCGTAAGATTATGCAGCGCCTCTGAGGGGGATGGAAGGTCTTAATTCAAGGAACTGGAGCACAGATCCAATTTCCTAGTCATATTCCTCTCTTGGCCTCCTGCAGTTCTGTGGTGGGTTATACATCACTGCTATGGCTACCTTATGTTCCTCAGACTGAATTGTACCTACTATGTAATCCCTTTCTCTCGAAAGTCCCTCACCATGGCCAAGGAACCTCCCTTGAGGGGTATTATGAACGTAACATGAGAGTAGTTACCATGAGAGTAGTTACCATGATGTTAGTTACCATGATGGCAGCTATCATCAATATAACAGCTACCATTATCCTAGTTACTATAATGGTTGCAATCAAGAATATAACAGCTACCATGATGGTAGTTACCTTGATGGTAGCTATCATGAAAGCAGCTGCCATCATAAATGAAGTTACCATGATGATAGTTGTCATGAATATTCCGGTCACCATGACGGTAGTTGCGATGATGGTAGCTATCATGAACATAGCAGCTTCCATTAAGAGGATAATAACACAAGTAAGACAGACACTCACATTCTTAAGGCACAGTTGAATGTTGTCTTAGCCAGGGTGCGCAGCTGGTCGCGCTGGTCTGGTGTGATGCGGACGCTGGTCTCTACTGTGAACTCATCCTTGACCTTAACACTGTGGAGATGTAGGTGTTGGATCATGTCTTGGATGCCCTCCACTGTTACTGTGCTGCTCTCACAATTTATCCACGAGTACCTGTTGATGATGACACAGTTGTTGTTGTCTGTTGATGATCTACAACACTACCACCATCACTGTTGCAACCACCACTACCACCATCACTGCTGCAATCACCACTACCACCAACACTACTGCAAACATCACAATCACCATCACTGCTGCAACCACCACAACCAGCATTGCTGCTGCAACCTACACAACCACCACTACCACCATCACTGTTGCAACAACTACTACCACCATCACTGCTGCAACCACCACTACCACCATCACTTCTGCAACCATCACAACCACCACCACCACTGCAACCATCACTACTGCAACCATCACAACCATCATCAATGCTGCAACCACCACAACCACCATCACTGCTGTAACCACCACAACCACCATTACTGCTGCAACCTCCACAACCATCACCGCTGCAACCACCACTTCAACCATCACTCATGCAACCACCACTACCACCATCACTACTGCAAATATCACAATCACCATCACTGCTGCAACCACCACAACCAGCATTACTGTTGCAACCACCACAACCACCAACACTGCTGCAACCACCACAACCACCAACACTGCTGCAACCATCACAACCACCATCACTGCTGCAACCACCACCACCACTTCTGCAACAAACACAATCACCGTAAGTACCTAACACCACCACCACCAGTACCACCACCAATCAGGGATCTCACCATTAACACTGAAAGTAACACAAGAACAACTGTGAAGGACTCACCCTCCTGGTGGCTGTAGCTCCTGGACCACCTCACTCACAACACAAGAACAACAGTGAAGGACTCACCCTCCTGGTGGTTGTAGCTCCTGGACCACCTCACAACACAAGAACAACAGTGAAGGAGGACTCACTCTCCTGGTGGGTGTAGCTCCAGGACCACCTCACTCACAACAGCAGAACAGTGAAGGACTCACCCTCCTGGTGGTTGTAGCTCCTGGACCACCTAACAAACAACACTAAAAGAACATTGAAGGACTCACCCTCCTCGTGGTTGTAGCTCCTGGACCACCTCGCTCACAACACTAAAACAACAGTGAAGGACTCACCCTCCTAGTGGTTGAAGCTCCTGGACCACCTCACTCACAACACTAAAACAATAGTGAAGGACTCACCCTCCTAGTGATTGAAGCTCTTGGACCACCTCACTTACAAAACAAAAGCAATAGTGAAGGACTCACCCTCCTAGTGGTTGAAGCTCTTGGACCACCTCACTGACAACACTAAAACAATAGTGAAGGACTCACCCTCCTAGTGGTTGAAGCTCTTGGACCACCTCACTTACAAAACAAAAAAAGAGCGATGGACTCAGTCTCCTGGTGGTTGCAGCTCTTGTGTTGAGAAATGGTTTACCAGCTAAGATTAAAGATTAAATATAGGGAGTACTTAGCTGATAAGACAGCTATCATCCACACAGCCGCCCTGGCAGACGAGGTCTTGAGAAGCTGTCTCATCCACTTAACGGGCTGAAATAAAGTGTATTATGTATGATTATAAATTTCCCCTAGGGGGTGTTATGTTAACATATATCAGACACTGATGGCTGACGACACTTGTGTGGTCTCAAAGGTCCACTTATCACTAGGGTTAATGTTAAGTGACTAACTCATAACTTATACTCAACTGCGCAGTCAATAGTAGTACATCACGAGTTAGAACACTTACCTGGGTATATGTATCTGACCCGTAGTTATGCCCGGATATATGATGAGTTGATTGAAGAATAGTGTTCTTTGAAGAATGTCGCACTACACTCTGTTGGATCACAACACTTGTTGTCACACTGTTCCTCAATAACTGTTCACACCATGTCACTAAAGAAGCTGATCACACTTCTCTGTAAGTGTTTATCGTGTTTTGTGAGACACTTTGTTCATATTAACGCATGAATCAGTGTTCTTTGTTGGTTATCCTGGCATCAGTGTGACTCCAAGTAGGGTGAAAAGTAATCTGACCTCACAGCATCCTATGCCACTGCAATGCCCCTAAAACATGAAGGAAAAGCTGACCTAGTACCTTTTGCTTCTTTGCCAAACTTCCTCTATGAAGCAAAGCAGAATGCTTGATTTTTGCTGTCTTAAGCATAGACAACAATGTACACTATCTTTACCATGGTAATAAAGTGGAAGCAGGATTTTCCTTATTTGTCCTAAGGTAAGAGATGGACTGTCTCTTATTAAACTACACTTTGCAACACTGTACTCTTGCAAGAAGCGGCGGTCGCTTGACCACGTCATATACCCATATTGCATCTGGGATCAATTACTTGCTGTAGCAGTAAACAAGATGTTTGCCGTAGTGGCTTCAGAATCTTTTCTGACTCCGTGGTGTGGGAGATAATGAGCTTCTGTCTTCAACTTGTCTTCGACTATTTCCTTAATGAATTTATTGTCCAACTGTTCTTGTATGATATTATCATAGACAGTCAGTAGCTCTGGATTCTTCCTGAGCTCATGTATTTGTGCTTTCATTTCTCCGAAAGACATGCGATGATTGCTAGGCAGATGTGGTAGATTTAATTTCCATGGTAACATAACCCAATACTGTCCATCTTTATATTTGACAGTGTCCAAATATTGGTTATAAGTCTGAGACTCTTGTGGGCTTGGTTTATTTACATCAATACCTGTCGCATCTAAATCCCACAATTATCAAACTGGTTCATTCATTTTTTCCCGTAATGATAATTTTTGCTGTGGTCATTGATCAGCGGTTACTCTTGTAACTACTACATTTTCCACTGAATCAATATCAGCTTTTTTCCCACTTTGAGAGGGAATGGGACCACATATCATGTGGCCTCCTGCTGTTTTCAGCAAGTGAACATCATGTTTACTTACTATATTTTGCACAAAACAGTGATAATAATCTCTTCCAATGATTAAATCAATTGGACTAATAATGTCCGTCTGTATGTTAGGACAGGCTTACTTGACCTTAGCTGCTTTCAGTGCTGCAACTGTTTCTTTTAATCCCTGGATCTCCACAGACTTAGGCAAATCATCTACTACCACAGCTTCTACTGTCTTTTTTCTGTTTCCTAGACCAACACTAATTTTGGCTAGGTCATATGTCTGTTTACCAGAATTTTGGAAAAAAACAGCTTTATTTAGCTGTACTTTGGCATAGAGTTGTTTATTCAGTTTCTGCAACACTGTTCTTCTTTTGAAGTACCTTTGTGAGCCTTGATCAAATAGTGTTAACACATTGATTTTGTGTAATTTATTAGATAACCCAACTCGGGCTATCGGGAGAGCAATTGCTTTAAACTTATCTCTCACATTTAATGCTGTTGCTTGTTGACTTCCTGATTCTGTGGAAGTCTGCTGCTGTTCAGCAAAAGTATTTGGGCATAATGCTGCATGATGCATACCCTTGCATTTAAAACACTTCTTCAATGAACATTTACCTCTATTTTGTTCACCTAAACACTTGATGCACCTTTTTAGCTGATGAACACGTTGTTTACGTGTCTCCATTGATGTGTATTGACTACAATACTGTGCCCAATGTGTTCCATCACAAAGTGCACATTTTGGAGTACGTTTATGTGTGACAGTCTGTTTACTGTCTGTTGTATTCACAGCTTGATAAATGCCTATATGGGATTTCCCATTATATGCTTTAGTGGGAGTAGGTATACCCATTTTATACTGAGTTGAAGGTTTGTTATACACGAGATTTGTGGATTTTTCATCTTGCCTCGTTGCTTGCATGCATGAAACTATTGTTTGTAAACCATTGCTAATTTCTTCACAAGTGAAATAGCGTTTATTGAACATAATATTTAATCGTTCAATAGTTTGTGGTGATAACTTATCCTGTACAATACCACTGATAAACCAATCACATTGTCGTAGGTCATATTTAGCACCTAGAGATCTGAGACTATTGTCTAATGTTTTTCTAAATGCCTGTAAGTCTGAAAAACAATGTTTGGGTGGCTTCAAGCTTGATATTAAGACTGCATGTCTAACTCTGGCCTTGTCAGCATCAAAGTAATTGTCTGTTAAGACACGTAAGGCTATTTGATAATTGTCTTTAACCACCGGAAGTGACTTAATCAGTTTATAGCGTTCTCCATTCACAAGACATTTAAGATAATTGAATTTAGCAGTCTCATCTATGTCAGTTCGTAAATTTACTATGGATTGAAAACCACTAATGAATTCTTCGTAATTATGACCTTAGAAAATAGGTAATGACAAGGTAGGTAAACTTGATAATGGTACACTTGTTGTTGTTACAGGTGTAACAGGTGTTTGACCACTAGTTTCAGTAGGTCTCTGTGACAGAGTTTTGCAACAGACAGCCTGTACTCCTGTCATCCCTAATTGTTGATTACTAAATGTATCTAAAACGTTTTTAATTTCAACCTTAGATGGGTCTGATTTAAGAAATTCAATTTCATAATTTATATAGTCTGAATTAATTATTTTCAGATGTTGCGTAAGTAATTCAAATTTGACCTCAAGATCATCAAAATCTATGTTTGTATCCTGATTTAACCCTAAAAACAAACAAAATTTAGTTTTTTCAAATTTGTTAATCTTGTCTGAAAAGACTGAAACTGATTTTTCAAACAAGCCATTATAAGGTAAACTGAAAATTCCCAGCACCAACAATTAGAGTTTTTAAAAAAAAAAAATTTGAAACTGCTATAAAAAAATGATTTTTTGTTATGCTTAATCACCCAATAATCGTGTCAAAACACCTACTAAGTTTAAACCCCTCGGGCCAAAAAACCCTAAAGGGGACAGAGACATAGGCTGGTGTTTTTTTGGGTTTTGATTTTTGCTGGTCACCCTAACAACGTTGATTAAACATAAAAAACGTTATGAAACTTTAAATTTCACAAAAACACTTTTAAAAAAGTTACTGTAAAAACGTAAATAAACACTTGTTTTTTTTTAAACACATATCTAAATGCCCACGTTAATATTTTTAAATATGAAAGTTTAAACATTTTAAAATAAAATTTCCTTTAAAA